AATTAATTAATTAATTAATTCTATATATACTGACTCTACGCCATGTAAATCCGGCAGCATTAAATAACACTATTACTATATTATCAATGTCTATTATTATGAATAAGCGCAAATATTGCTTTAAAGATGAACTAGATTCAGATGATTTAGTTTTCTGGAAGTAGAAAGTGCATAAATGAGACGTAGTAACAAATCTTCTGGATTTAGCAGCGCTTTTCAAGCACCCTTTTGACGATTCAGAGGCTAGAACAAAGCAGAGTTCAATTTGATCATTTATTTCGATTAAATTAAACAGTGTTATTTCGCATGATGCCATCGTTCAAATACCTGCTGTAGTCTGACCGGCAACGGGTAAAACGGTGAGTTGGCGTCGTGATCCGTGAATTAGAAACGCGCTACGCATCTTCAGCTACATTCATTAATAAAATATAAAGGTTATTCTGTATAACTTCTATGATGGTTTCAATTTTACAGACTCGGTTTGTACCGAGACGCTGAAAAGCAGCTGACTGCGGCCTTCGAACAGCAGCCTATTGTTGACACTGCATTGCTTCTTTGCAAGGTAACGGATTTACAGGTTAATTAAATTCTTTATGCAGGAGGAAAGTTCTTCATTGTGAAGTTCTTCGAAAGATTTTTTTTGCATATATGTTTTAGTAAAGAAAATCTCCTGAAATTTCGGATTGTGCGAGATCTTCCTTCAGGGGATATTCCGTAACAGTCAGTACAAAAAATAATATGCACAGACAGCGGTAAAGAATCTTTATTAATATGGAAGAAAGCAAGATAGGAATTGGTGAGGATAATTAAATTTGAATCGTCAGCATGAACCACATTACGAATCAACAATTCCTTGATCGTATACACACCTTAAGATCATTCCACAGTATGCACGACATTACTTCCGTACTTCCTGTTACATAATGTACTCTGATGTTGGATCAAGCTCGATTCGAAACATCGGGGTGGTGGATCGTAATAATATATTATATCGTATATTACTAGCTTTTCATCATATTTATACCAAATATGACCCAAGACTTCAATAAAACAACGTTACAAAGTCGCTCCGTACCCGGTTTTTATTGAATTACGCTCTCACCGGGTTCAGATTTTTTATAAAACATTGGAGCACAGCCGCTGCTTCTCCAAATTGAGAATTTTTAGTTGGGATGGTTAAACCTCATCCTTTGAAAAGCAAAATGGGTACTAATCGTTCAAATGATGGGAGAAAGACCCCAGAGGTGGCCAAGAATGAAGTTAATAAGTGGGTCAAAAACTCCTCTCCTGATTCAAGTTATCTTCTGGTGAAGCGCAGATGCTGGAATAGGATAAGGAACAATGAATACAATACACATTGGCAGGCACTGCTGCGTTTCACAGCCCGAAAGGACAAGCAGTCATCGAAACTGACTCACTCTCAGACATACGCTCCAGCAAAAAGGTCGCGCGTCTGCTTTAATGATATTCATAATGAAACCGAATTTTCGTGAAGTATTTTGCCTTTACCAAAGATTAAGACTCATTTTTGATGGCAATTAAGATGTGAGGGAAGAGTGGGGGG